TTAATTAATTTTTTTTAAAATTAATTAAGTGTTAGTTTATTTAATAATGTGTTAATTAGTATTGTTAAAGTTGTTAATTATTTTAAGTTGGTTTGTTGGTAATTAAGTAATTTAATTGTTTTCAAAATTTAATAGGTGTTAATTTAAAAATTTATGTGCTAATTAAGTGATTTAGTAGTTAATTATATTAATTTTATTTTTGGTAAATGGTACAATTTATTTTTTTTAAATTAATATTTTGTTACTTTAATTAAATAGGAGTGTTAATTAAGTTATGTATATGTTCAATTTATTAAATTAATTGTTAAAAAAATTCTTTAAAAATTGTTTACACATATTGAGTTTGTGTTAGTTTAATTAATTTGGTAGTAAATTAAGTTTTTAAAATAAGTAAATTAGTTGTTAACTAAATTAGTTATATTTTTTTAAAAAAATTTAATTACGTGTTAGTTTAAACAATTTCGTAGTTAATTAATATTTTTAGTTATTAAAAAAAGTAAATTAGTTGTTTATTAAATAAATTAAATTTAGTTTAAAAATAACATTTAGGTATTAGTTTAATTAATTTAGTTGTTAATTAAGTGTTTAATTTGTTAAAAAAATAAATTAGTTGTTAATTAAATTAAATAAATTTAGTTTAAAATCTTCAATTATGTATTAGTTTAATTAATTTAGTTGTTAATTACTTGTGTAATTTGTTAAAATGAACAAATTAGTTGTTAATTAAATTAATTAAATTTAGTTTAAAATCTACAATTACGTGTTAGTTAAATTAATTTAGTAGTTCATTAAGTTTTGTTTTTTTTAAATAAGTTAATTAGTTGTTAATTAAATTTAGTTTAAAATTTAAAATTACGTGTTAGTTAAATAATTTAGTAGTTAATTAAGTATTTTTTGGTTGAAATAATTTAATTAATTGTTAATTAAATTAATTATATTTAGTCTTCAATTAACAAATACTTGTTAGCATAGTTTTTTTTTTAATCACACACCCAAGGCTTCTAGCAGAACTAGTATGTAAGGATTTGAACCCGGGATCTCTTTTTACAAGAGACTACTATTACTAGGTTATAAGCTCTTTGGTTTCATGTTAGTATAATTAATTTAGTAGTTAATTAAATCTTTTATTGGTTAAAATAAGTCTCTAGATCTTCAATTGAGCAGGATATAGAGTCATGGCTTCAGCTACGTGTAAAGTGGTTTGGTTGGTAAGGCTTTTAAAGGAATTGCAAACCATAGGTTTAAAGGTCTGTAGAAATGTATTATGACAACAAAGCTACTTTACATATTGTTTAAAACCCATTTTTTCATAAAAGAAACAACCACATAGAGATCGATTGTCTTTGTAATTAGAGAGAAGCTTAGAGAAAGGTTGATCAAGACTCGTATTTGTCGAACATGAGAGCAAATTGTAGATATCTTCACAAAAGGACTTGACAGCAAGCATCATCAGTATTTTTTTGTCCAAGTTAGGTGTTTATAACTTGCAAACACCCCCAACTCGAAGAGGAGTATTAAGAGAAGCATATTTATTTTTAGTATTTTTCAGCTATACATTTATCAGCTTGGCATTTGCATATATATATATATATATATATATATATATAGTTAATAAGTTAGTTCACATGAGAAATAGAGGATTATAGCCATGAAGTTTATAAACTGTTGTAACAAATCTTGTAACTGATAATTCATAAGTGAACAGCGACAAAACTTTCCCAAACTCTCTTTCTTAATAGTACGAGTGTTCCAAATTTGAGATGGAAGTGATGATGGTGCAAAAGGGCTAGCTGGGAGCTTCCGACCGGCAAGGAATGTGATAGGTAGCCTCGTTATATTGGTCACCTGTAAGCCAATTGGATAAAGTATAAAAATAAGGAGAAGATTGAGAAATATCAATATGTTAGAGAAAGGGAAGTGGAATTCATTGAACACCGTATGTTGTGAAACCAATTTTTTTTTTTTTTTTTTAATAGATTGGTGGAAACAGGTATAAGCACTTTGAGAAGTAAAATACCCAAGAAATATACATGGTTTATATCGAGATTGGAGTTTGTTGGTGTTGTACGGTTGTAGCTAAAGATAGATTACACATCCAAAAATTCAAAGTTTTTTATAGTTTAGAGTTTGACCAAATAATTTTTCAAATTAAGATTGCATGTAAAGTATGGGTGTGGAAAGTCTATTGAACATTGCTGAGCCTTCTTCTTGCCTCACACCTATAAAACATGTCTAGTCTCTGGCCAATGTGTGAAAAGCATTACATTAATATGTTATTGGGTGATAGAAAATAGAATGATAGAAAATGATAATGAAGTTTGATCTTTATTTTATACATTTTTAATTAAAATAATAGAGAGTAAAACTAAAAATAATTTTTTTTAGTAGAAGAAGTAGGAATAAAAATAAGAAATATAAATTATATTTCATCTTTTTTTAAATGATAATATTATTATTAATTATAGTATAACTACTATGACATGTTTTAATGTATATATATATTTTGCAAGCACCACCATTTGAATCTTTTACCACTATTACTAGGATAATAATTCCTTTTACCATCATGGTGGTGGTGACATTAATTTTTTTATTTACTATTACATTATTGTTATTACTACTCAATGCCACCAATATACCATCCCCGCCTCTCTCCACCACGACCATCGAGAGGAATCCTTCCGGTCAAGAAACCCAATCCAAGTTTGACAGCTTGACCTTAGAGCTGCAACAGAAACTGAGAAGTGGTTAGAGATGAATCGCTAAGAAGACGAAGGTTTCTCTGAGATTAAAAGCCTTTTAAGTGGAATCTTCTTGCAACACATCACCTCGGGTTGGAAGTGCAGCCCAGTAGGGGTGTGGCTAGCAGCTCTTCTTCTAAAGCTGTCACTCTTACAGATCTAACCATGGAGCAACCTTCTTTACAAGACACCAATAATTCTTCCCACCAGCATTTGAAACCCAAAAACCAAAAATAGTTTCCAAATTTTTGTTTGATGGGAGAATGTTGATAAATGGCTTCCTATGAGAAGGCCAGGTTTGCCTCATATTGCCTTGATGATGATGCTTTGCATTGGCAACAGACTTCCAAGTATTATTTTGGGTAGTTTGGTTATAATTTGGGATGATTATTCCACTGATATATGTAGTAGATTTTTGGGTGGGGATGCTTCTTGAGCTAGCTAGCTACTATTAATTACTTGTGTCGATGACGGACTACTGATCTAAAGGCCTGTTTGATATACTGTGGCATATAATTGATCTCAATGAAGGTCAGGTCCTAGTAAAGTTTGTGGCAGGACTCAGAAGAAGATATTAAGAATCCTGTGACCATGCCTGTTTCATCCCAAGCCCCTACAAGAGTCGTATGACCGAGCTAGGGTACAAGAAAACACTGAAAACTTCAAACACTATCAACTACAATCATTTACTACACGCATTACTTGCAACAAAATTCAAGAATAAATAACAACAAGATTATAACCCATTAATTCAATGAAAACCAATAACTCTCAAATTAATCACATAATTGGATGACTAAAAAATAATTTTAGAGATTGAATTTTTTTACTAATATGCAGGGTTTGAATCTTACGAGTTGTATGTGTTGAAATGGGTTAAATTTTATCGTTCTCATCTCGAATAGAATTAATCATACCTCTAACGTGATATAGAGATATCTCCAAAAAACTAAAAAAAATAAAATCTTAGGAATGACAATGAGTCGGTTATTCAACTCATTGATTCAATTTTTTGACACTATCCATAAATTCAATTTTTATATATGTTAATAAATTATATTCTAAACTCATACTCGCTTCGTATTTAGCCTATCAATTTATTTAATATCTGCTAAAAATAATTTTTTAAAATATTTCATTTTAATCATTATAATTTTCTAGGAAAAAGTTAATTTGTTTCTTAAAATTATTATTATTTTTAAAATTTGTCCTTTATTTATAAGATTTGGTCCTCAAAGTTTTCATAAAAATATTTTGGTCCCTATTCTATAAAATTTGTGCAATCAAGTCTCTTCATTTAAATTTTTTATTTCAAAAAAATTAATGGGTATTAATAGAGTATAAAGTAAATACTCGTATCCATAAAGTATTTTAACTGGTATATATTTATTTATCTTTTTTTTTTTTTACCCATCTCAATTCTCATTAAATATATATTTTTTTTAATGTGTATTTCTACCAATTATCATCCCTACATAATGTTTCTCATAATCTATTCTTGTTCTTCTTCCTTAAAGCATTGCAAATGAGGAGAATAGCCATCTCAGTTCGAGATGGCGACATTTGCTGCTAATAAAACGGAGAATCACAAAACTTGTCATAATTATTTCTCAGTACACAAAAGCAGCTATATTTGTCGGGAAAGAAAAGGGCTATATTTGTTAATAACTTAATAAAGAAGAGAAGATGACAAAACCGGCGGGCCGTAGAGAATCAAGGCAAAAGTTAGTTACGCCTTTTGTGTTTTTCCCGGGCTTTTGGGCGGCCTAGCATTGACCTCACTAAGTACGTTTATTTCTTTTAACAAACAAAAAGTATCCTTCTCTTTTCTGTTTACACCGACCTCTGTTTTTCTTCTTATTTTCCTTCTTTCCTTTCCCTTTTTTTTATTGTTTATGAGACAGACATCATCGACGTGCGCATCACATTCTCTCGCTGCAAAAACAGAAAACTTAACTAACAAACACTCAACAGCTTTCTCTCCTCTTCAAAACAACAATAACTTCTTCTTCTTCTTATCCATCTTTACCCTGTCATCTTTTAACAAGATATCTTCCCTCTCCCTTTTTCTATCTCATCAAAACAAAACCGATATTTTGACAAAGGGAAGAGAAAACCAATAAGCATTCCGGCAACATTAATTGCCAATGGTCGATTATCTAATTACTGATCAAAGAAGAAAATAGTTTGTTCATTATGGTAAGAGCATTGATTCGTGAACAAAGCATTCAGATAACGAAATCTTTCAATTCGAGAAAAATGTTTGATCCGCTTCCAGGGCGACAGGTGCAGAGTTTGATCCATGAAAATAATGAAAAAGATGGAGATGATGGTGTTGATCAATCGAGAAGTTTCATTGTTTCTAGAGCTATAGGAGACCGCCTTATGGACCGCCAATATATTGGAAGCCCACTTGATCGCGAAAGGGGTCCAATGAAGGCCTTCCGTACAGATAGTCATGGTGGTGCAGCTCCTAGGACACCAACTCTCCAAGACAAGCAAACCTCATCAGGTACATCGTATTTCTCTTCTCTATGTCTTTATACCTCTGTACTCTTTACAAATTCTTGGAAAAATTCAGGCCTTCGTTTATCAGATCATCCATATAATTATCTTTCTTACATATAATTTGGTTTGCATTTTATTTTGCGATTTTGGACAGATATGGAACTAATGAAGGAAAGGTTTGCGAAGCTGCTTTTGGGTGAAGATATGTCAGGAGGTGGAAAGGGTGTCTCTTCTGCTTTGGCTTTGTCAAATGCAATTACAAACCTTGCTGGTAATTTTTTTTTTTTTAATTATTATTGTTCCTTTTATCTACCAAAAAAATGATCATCGCTATCATTTCTGAATTCTAACCACATCTGTGTCCTTATTTCTATTCATCACAATGCAGCATCTGTTTTCGGAGAACAAAAGAAACTAGAGCCAATGAATCCAGAGAGAAAATCAAGATGGAGAAAGGAAATCGATTGGCTCTTATCTGTAACTGATCACATTGTTGAATTTGTTCCTTCACAACAATCCAAGGATGGAATCAATATGGAGGTGAGAATTCTGAGCATGTTTAGGCTTTTTCTATGCTTTGTTTCTCACCGCTCACAGTTGCATAGAAAATAATTGATTCTGAACCTTAATGTTTTGTTCTGATTTGATAGATCATGGTGACACGGCAAAGAAGTGATCTGCTAATGAACATTCCTGCTCTGCGCAAGCTTGACACCATCCTCATCGTAAGTACTTTCATTTTTCTCTCTCTCTTTTTTTGCCCCCTTATTGGAGAGGACATTGAATGAACTTGCATTGTTTTCTAATCAAATTTGCAACACTCAGAATCTCCTAGATCAATTTGGAAGCCAAAATGAATTCTGGTATGTTTCCAAAGACAAGGATGATTCAGAGCAAGGAACGCCACCAAGAAATGATGACAAATGGTGGATTCCCACGGCCAAGGTTCCACAAAATGGGTTATCTGATGCAACACGAAGATGGATGCAATTTCAGAAGGATTCCGTGAACCAAGTACTTAAAGCAGCCATGGCCATAAATGCGCAAGTACTATCAGAAATGGCAATTCCTGAAATCTACATTGAATCCCTTCCAAAGGTATAAGAATGAAATACCATGAATCCCCTCTACTTAAAGCCATGCCCATACAGTGATTAAATTTCTTCCTCGTGTTATTGGTAGAATGGAAGAGCGAGCCTTGGAGATTCAATCTATAAGAGTATAACAGTAGAATACTTTGATCCTGAGCAATTCCTCTCAACTATGGACTTGTCAACCGAGCACAGAGTTCTAGACCTCAAGAACAGAATCGAGGCCTCTATTGTGATTTGGCAGAGAAAGATGCACCAAAAGGATGGAAAGTCTTCCTGGGGTTCAGCAGTTAGCTTAGAGAAGCGGGAACTCTTTGAAGATAGAGCAGAAACTATCCTACTCATCCTCAAACAGCGGTTCCCAGGAATTTCACAATCCTCACTAGATATAAGCAAGATCCAATATAACAAGGCAAGGATATGTAGCACTAATATGACTGAAACCTGTTTTCTGATTATTTTTCTTCTGAAGTTGAGAAACTGATATCGTTTTTAGTACTTTCCTACAGGATGTAGGACAGGCTATCCTAGAAAGCTACTCAAGGATAATAGAAAGCTTGGCCTACGCAATCTTGTCTAAGATTGATGATGTCCTGTACGCTGATTCCCTTACACAAAGCCCACAATCGGAGTCCAATCAGAAGCCAGAGGAAGAGCTGGACAATCTGAGTTCTGCAGAGACGCCAACATCAATGACCCTCTCAGATTTCATGGGATGGAAGGTGGATCAGGGAGAGGCGAACATGAAGAAAATTCCGTCAACAGACAAAATGGAGAAAGACTTCAAAGGTGTCAAAGGTGACCAGGACAAGATTAATGACAAACCCGCTACAACCCCTAGAAGGTTATCCTACTTAGAAAAGCTTGAGAACTTGAGTGGACTGAGAAGTCCCACCGGTCGACAGTTTCTCTAAGTTTATAGGAGGAGAAGAGAAAAACGGAAACGTGAGAAAGAAAGATAGAGGAAGATATAACGATAGAGTGATTTAGTTAGAGAGCCTGATTTGTCAGAAGTAGATAACCAGGCCCAGAGTAGGAGTTTGCTTGGTTAGTAACTTAGTAGTTGTTGTATTGTCTTCCTTCAAAATGCAGGATAAAGGAAGTCTAGTATGTAACTGTTGGGTGCGACGCTGCATTTGAGAGGTCTTTTTGTTGACCCTGCTTCGTCTTCCATCCATTCATTCTATTCTGGTTTCCTTTCCACTCTGACTCTGTCATATCCTCACCAGATTGCTTGTAGTTATGAATTTAATTCCTTTTATAGTTTCATTTTCTAGATTCACTATGAAATGCAATTTAAGATGAAGGTTCAAATAGCATGAAGGGAACAATCTTATAGGAGTTACCACTTCTTAGTGATTTGAGAAGTGAAAAAATCCAACCAGTGTTTGTACGGGCTTAGAATATACGAGAAGCAGGTATGCTTTTGATAGGACTGAGAAATAGGTGTTGATGAAGCCTAAAGCTGGGTGGGAGAAAGGATGATTATCATAAACATACAATTTTTTGAAATCATCAACTTGCAGTGGCTATGGTGGGCTTTCATGAAGCATATAACTTGAGGCAGAATGGTAGTGAGCAATTTATATGGAAAGTGGTTCCAGAGAGAGCAACCAATTTTATCCAATCATGAATTCTTACACGAATTCATGTCAGAAGTTTTTCATAGAATGTCGGGAAACTACAGTAAACTGAAGACCATTATTATTTAAGATTCGCACTGCAAAGCATAAACTAGTCCTGTTGAAACTGCGCAGTAAGTGTCAACCTGTATTAGGATGGCCATGTTTCAGAATAATTATAAATAAAATCAAGGCCCTTGGCATGAGAGCAAATATAAATCTAATGCCATATATTTGTTTAACATAACATGTACTTTATAAGGACCTTGAGATCAACATCCAAATTTCTTGAGTAGAAAAGAGAGTACACGAACCTTTTGAAGCTTTTTTTCAATCTTTATTTCAATAAGATATGATCAGTCCTTGAAAAGCATATCGACACTCAGGTAAGTTGAAAGACAAAAACATAATAACGAGAATAAGCCATAGCTGTCTCAAAAGGAAAATGGCAATCCGTCAAGTCTTAATGTAAAAACATTGCATCCTCTCAATGAAGTTGAGAAAAAATCTCCAACCCAGAATTCTTACTAAAGACCAAAAATCTGTTGATTTTAGCTTACACGGGTAACAGCAGCATGTATAGCTTCTGCCAGATGAGGGACTGTCTTGGAACTAAGACCTGCCATGCTTATCCTCCTGCAAAGAGAAAAAGAAAAAAAAAAAAAAGATAATACCTTTAGCCCCAACAGCAGTCATTTTTCGAAGTAAAATTTATTACATCTACCTAGAAGTATATGGAACTGTTAACAATATATATATTAGAGTTGAAACTTAATCCCCCTACTACCCACCCACCCGCCCCCCCCCCAAAAAAAAAAGGAGCTGGAACTTAATAAAATGACACGGAAATCATGAGAATTGTGAGGATTATTAGAGCTAAAGTTTGCTGGAAAATACCAGAACAGAGCGAAGTTTTTACTTATCAACATGGTTAAGTGTAAAGTGAAGCATTTTTATCCTCTCAACTACATTGATGCAAGGCCACAAAAAATTGACTACAAGATGATAGCAGAATACAAAATGCATTTATCTTGGCAAACATGTTTAACAATAATTACATAGCATTTTGGAACAGAATTAAAAAAAAAAAAATGAAGGACAATTAAACAATGCTGAAAAGCAAGTTAAAAAGATGCAAAATAAAATCAGCATGAGCGAAACTGAAAACGATTGCAACAGGAACAAAAACATCAGTGAATGGAAGATTTTTCTTTTCTTCTCTTTTCTTTTTTTCTTATTTAACCAAAAAAAAAAAAAAAAAAAGGTAAAAACCTCTAAAAAAGGTAACAAGGGATTGATTTTGTTACCCATCAGATGTCAAGTAAATGTGATACTCCTTGGTCATGAAGGCAACTTGTTCGGTGTTCAAGCCAGTGAAAGTAAACATTCCAATTTGCTTGATAATGTGACTCCAGTCGCCTGGAGTGCCTGCCAAAAAGGAAAAGAGCCTCAGTTTGGATGTACAAGTATCACAGAAAGTGTGCTCACTAGCACATAAGCTAAAAAAAAAAAAAAAAAAAACTTGATTGAAAGATAAATTGACAATTATCTGGGTTTTTCTGAAAGATAAGTTGACAATTATCCAGCACTGACACATGAAAGCTGAAATAGGTTGACATATATTCAGGATGAGTTGCCACTGGGACACTAATATCATTTTCTCTGTGTACCTTCGAGTAAAAGGTGTTCTGCCAACATTATTGGCACACAGGAAATTGGGGCCTTATTACTTTGTGCATTAAAAAAGGGAAAAAAAATAAAAATTCACTTACTGTTTCTGAAATGGATTTTATCATTAACGATAAGAGACATTGTTGCCTAGGGAATTTAGTAGATTGTTCAGGAGTTGAGTTTGTATGGCACAATTGACTTGAGTTCACAAGCTTGACCATTCGTACCATATGCTAATTTAGGAACCAGACAGAAGACCTAAAATGTATAAAATATGATGAATAAGCAAACCTTTAGCAGATAAAGCATCAAACAGTTGTTGGCGCATGCTGATAATCCGGTCAGCCATTGCTTTCAGCTCAACAGTCCATTCATTGAACATATCCCTACGTGGAAAAATACAGACAGTTGAGTGTGAAGTTTAAAGGTGCAGAAAATGAACTAATCAAATTGCATCACCAAATGATGGAAATTCTCTTACTAATCATCTGGCAGAGTCTGAGAAATCAAAATAAGCATTTGTGGCAAATATTATAATTTTCTTACCGTGTCTATACCACTGTAAATATTGCCAGTTGTGGAATTGATTCAGCAAGTCCACAATCTTTATGGAAATAATTTTACACCTCATTTTTTAATAGAGAAATCCTTTCATTGTGCCATTCTTCTTAAATGGAAATTAAATACAATTCTAAATATAACTCTATCACGCATCAACTTCTAAGATTCAGCTGGCTTAATCAAGGGACTTAAAGTACTCTCACTGATTTTAACAGAGCTTATACCTGTCTTTGAGAATGGTCGCCACAATCGATGCACCATGAATAGGTGGATTAGAATACATGGGCCTTATCACAAGCTTCAACTGGCTCTCAACCCTACTTGCAACATCTGCTGTCTTGCAAACCTGAGAAAATGAAACTGCAAGTAACTATTTATGTAAATGTATTTTACCAAAAATTACTTCGTGTAGACCTCTGTTCGCACAATATAAAAACAAATAAAGCTAGTTGTTACCATATATAATGCGTATTCCTCTGAAATTACTTCTATAAAAATGACAATTTCACAACATCCTAGAGTTTCTAATTATTTTCATCTCCTTTCTAGTTGAGATGTCATCATCAACCTCTCCAAGAGTAAATTATGAAACACATATGACTAGTTCAGTAAACTTAAAATTAAAAACAAACAAACAAACAAACAAGAACAGAGAGAAGGATAGAGAGATCGTCCTCTACTTTAATTTGAAAATTAGATTTACATATAAAATATACATAGCAAGGAAGATCTCTTGTACAGAAACAACCTAAGAAGCCAATGGTATTCTGGGAATATAAATGCAAGTTGTTGCATTATAAGAAAGCTCCCTTGATTAAGTTGCAAGCTTCAGTGATTCAGTATTTACTAATTGATTATTGTTAAGCATATAAGAATGTTTTCAGAAACTGAGTGTCTTACTATGCTGAGAGCACCAACACGTTCCCCATAGAGTCCCATGTTTTTTGCATAACTCTGAGCTGCAAAACATTCACCACCATCTGCAACGAACATGCGAACAGACTGGGCATCTGCATCTAGGTTACCACTAGCAAAACCCTGGAGTGTCAAAGTATTAGACTTTTGGTCGCCCATGTTACAATCTACTAGCACTAACAAAACTTGATCACGATTAATCATTATGCAATATTCTAAGCCAAACTGCTTTTTTATTGAGGATATCCATTGTGTCCTTATTACCTGATAAGCACTGTCAAAGAAGGGTAGCAACCCTTTTGATCTCAACAACTGTCTGATCTGCTCCCATTGTTCATTGGTTGGGTCAACACCAGTTGGGTTATGAGCACACGCATGAAGAAGCACTATAGATCCTGATGGTGCAGCTCCAAGATCCTCAAGCAAGCCTAGATAGCACAGACATAAGCTTATTCTTTGAGTTCTTCAATCAGCACCATGATTTAATTTAATTGGAATTCAGTGCACAAACAAATAATACAAGAAGAAGGTGTGAACGCCTAATATGAATTTTAACAATTAGGATTTTAGAGTGAAATAATACCACAACAGAAGCAATATGGGAGATAACATAAAACAGTAAGCCATCTTGACTATCTGTCTAATGTGGTAGCACCAAGTTATTAGGCTGTTACAGTGTGACAACATATAGATTAGAGGGCTCAGACCTTGGAAATCCAGCCCACGTGTTGCAGGATCATAGTAGCGGTATGTCTTCACAGACAATCCTGCAAGAGTGAAGATTTTGGTATGATTTCCCCACGTGGGATTTGGGATGTAAATTGTGAGCTGCCAAACAAGACAAGATGAATCAATCAAAAATTGACTTGCAACATTTTATGTTATGGAATCCCAAGTAAAGCAAATGAAATTAAAAATAGCACGCACGGTCCTTAGTCCTTACTTGGTGGTAGTGCTTAGCAAGAAACTCAGCCCCAACCCTGAGAGAACCAGTACCGGACAAGCACTGGACAGTAGTGACTCTATTCTCTTGTATGGCTGGACTGTTGCATATCAAGAAATAGAATCACAATAAGCTATTCCGCAGGGAAAAAAAAACCAATGGATAAAATGTTATAGCATCTTGCGGAATGCAAATAATTGTACCGTGAATCGCAGCTAATTATTTACCTATCAGCACCAAAAATGAGCTTGGCACTCAATTTGTTAAAATCAGCAAGTCCAACAATGGGAAGATATTCTTTGACCCGAGAACTGGAAGACATATAGTAACTAATATGAATAGAAAGTGAAAGTGAAAGATCGCAAAAGCAGCAATAACAACATGAAGGTGAATGATTCAGTAGCTTACTTGTCATTCACTAACATCTGCTCTGCTCGTCTCACTACATTCAAAACCAGAGGCTTCCCTTCCTAATACACCCACCACCATATAAAAAATCATCCAATCTAACAAATTCCACATCACTATTACTTCAAATAAAAAAAATAGGTTAATAAGGAATGAAAAGTACCTCAGTTCGGTAAGCACCAACACCCAAATTCAACTTATTAGGGCTGCTATCCTTGTTATATGCAACTGTCACCTGTTTTCGATACGAATACAAATAGTTTATAACATAATCAATTTTATACAAAGCATGATCTCAATTATTATTCCTATTATTATGATTATTGTACAATCAATCAATCGACACATGCAATGCAAATAAATTCGCATCCAAAAATATTCAGTTCTCGTAGAATAAAAAAATAAAATAAAATCAAAATCTAGGAATCGATTAGCGATTGTATACGAAGAATACAGGTAATGAATGCTTTTAGAGAAAAATAAAAGCAGTGCGATCAACGATCAAACTCAAAATAAATAAGTGAATAGAAAAAGGAAGGATTCGAAGAGAGAAGCAAGTACTCCTAGAATGGGATCTTCAGGAGCTCGAACGATGTTAGCAAACACAGAAGAAGAAGAATCCATCACTTCCTTTCTTTTGTGTGACTGTTTCTGTGTCTGTCTGTCTTTTTAGAGTTGAACTGAGAGATATATAAATCTTGTTTTACATATAAAATTAAAAAGTAACGTAAAACATACAGTGGTCTGGTTGGTTAAGAGGGGAAAAAATGAAAAAGAAAAACAATGGGCGGCGGTTCTTAACGCCTACTGAGTCCTGTCAAGCGTCAAATGCCCACTGCGGGCTGTGGGCGCCATTTGTAACGCTCGACTTTCTTAGCACGCTGTTTGCCGAGTAAATTACAAATTATTCCCTCTATTTTTACAAATGAATTAATTAGTCCTTATTATTTTAAAATAAATTCTTTAATCAATAGATCTCACATTATTTAAGATTAATTTATTTCAAAAAAATAAAATCTTTTCTTACCAATATATTTATATTTTTTACTTATTTTTCTCTTTTACTATTTCTTAAAATGAAAAATTAAAAAGAAAAACATGTCAAGCTATAATATAATTTAAAATTATAGAGACTAAAAATTTATTTATTTTATAATTTACTCATTGTTTACCTTGTTGCACAAGGATGAAAGAACCAACCCTTATCCTCTTGAAAATACAGCATTGCCTTGTTAGGACTATCAATTTTTTGCGAAAAAATATTTGGACTATGGTACATGGGAGCTAATGGCAAATTCAGCACCACCACTTACAAAACTTTTCTTATCAATTGATTCTATTTTTATTTTTTCTATTTAAATGCTTGTATCTTTTTTTTTTTTTTTTTTTTTGTAATTAGGCTGTTTGTATTTTTAATTTTATTTAAATCGAGTTTATTCCATATCTCGCTCTCTATATAATTTTTTTTTTATTGAGACCCTCTATGATTTTTCGGCTTTATTGAAACCTTTTACTCTTACAAATTTATTAATTCGGACCCTTCGTTATAATGTCATTAAATATTCATCCTACGTGGTAAGTTAAACTTAACGGTAACCAATCATATATGAACATGCATCAATGTGAGTCCCAAGTAACATTATCTCCTACCGAAAAAAATTAAAAGCTTTTTTATTATGAAACTAATACTTAATATTTACAAATTATTGAAAAATGCCACATTGCCCCCATCCCATTCTCCCTTTCTCTCTAGCTGAAAATTCAAATCCATAAATTCCTAAATCCCTAAAGTCGTCATCCACCCAATCATCTCCAAACCTAGAAAATCCACGATCGCCACTCTTGATCTATTTCCTTATCGTTTTTGACATGGCTACATCCTTAATTGTTCTCAAATTATCATTTATTATCATTACCATTTCCAATTTTTCCAAAAGAAAATAGAAAATAATACATTACATTTGAGTATTATATTTTTTTTTCAATCTTTAAAAGGCTTAAATGACATCAAATTCGTCAAATTCTTCCAAGGTTTCTCATAAACAATAGCTCGATACTTCTTATAAGCACCTCTTTTCATCGCCAAAACAAGTCAATATCTCATGCCAACTATAACCTATAGTTGAAATCTACATGAAATCTCCTCTCAAGACTTTGAAAAAAAGAAGCATCTAGTTAAATAGTTGTTCGTTTAAATGATAATGATCAGTGAGCTTTTTTTAGTGGCTAGACAATGGGATTTTTCATGGTTCGAGGCTACTAGAGATCGAAGCTTGATGGATGATGGAGATGATAGTGGGTCGGTGTTCGGGGCTAGATGTGTGATGGTCGCGAGCGGTGTTTCGAGCTTAAGGGTTTGGGTGTCAAGTTGGAGAGGTTGCAATGGTCAATGGCAAGTGGGCTAGCCGAGGCGTGACCGAGGGGAGATGGATGATGTGGTCGGTGGTGGCTAAGGCTAAGTTGTTGGGTTTCGATGGGTTGGAGGGGTTATGGCTAGGATAGAGGAGTGGCTAGGATGAGGGTTTAGGTAAGGAGTGAAAAATGATCCTCGCTAGATGGTGGAGCGAGGCTATGGTGTGACGAGTTGTAATGGTGATGGGCGGCCGGTGGTTGACAAGCTATGATGGTAGTGGGTCGTGGTGATAAAAGGTGGTCGCTACAATTTGGTTGGTATAATAAGAGTGAGGGTAGTTTTGTCTTTTGGTTTTCTTTTTTATATACTTGATGTTAGTTTAATAATACAAATCTTTTTAATTTTAGTATTTTTTTTAGTTTCGGATGTATAATAAAACAATTCGAGCTCCATATCGCCACGTACCTATTTCGATTGGTTGTTGTTAGTTTTAAAATACCACATTGGATTTCGGTTAACATAGGGTTTCAATTAACAAATTTGCAAAAATAGAAGGTTTCAATCGAATTGAAAAATCGTATAGAGTCTCGATAAAAAAAAATTAGAACGTACTATACGAGAGACCAATTGTGAGGTAACCCTATTTAAATCAATATATCTTTATTTATTTTTTAATTAAGTGTCCTTTTTATAGTTTAGCTTAGTTTTTGTACACTACTCTTGACATTTCAATTCGGCATCATTGAGTTAAAAAGTCTACCAATTACGGAATAATATAAAAAAATTATATTGATAGGAAAGCATAGGTTTCTTATCAAAACAATAAAAATTGTATTTTAACTAAAAATTTTTATAATCACTTTACTTATGTAGTTAATTTTATCTTATGGATAACCCTTTAATTGATTGGAATTTATAACACATCATCTTGAACTATTGTAGCATCTTTCAATCTATTATATTGTCTTGATAGATCCATTAAATGGATACATGTCATCCTTACGGTGGAACCCATTAATTGGAAGTAAGAAAAAAAAATCAAAATTTTGAAGGAAAAAAATGTAAATCTTGTTTGAAGGATGAAATTTCTCGACCCTTTTTCCTTCCTTTTATAGGTTATTAAGAAATCCTAAAATTTTGAACCAAAAAATAATAATAAAAAGGAGAAAAAGTGTAACATCATCTTTTAGGAAAATTTTCCTTTTTATTATTATATTTTAGTTATTGTTGTTTAAAGTTTCTAAATAACCTAAAGAAGAAGGGTGGGAAAGTTTCCTCTTGAAACACGATTTGCATCTTCATTATTTTTATTCTTTTTTTTTCCAATTTATGAATTGTGGGTTTATTTAATGGATCCACCATCAATAATTTAATAAATTCTAATATAGACACTCTATTTAAAAAGAAATGAATGTACATACACTCAAATAGAAAACATTAAAACAAACACACTTAATTAATTAATTATATATATATATATATATATATATATATATATATAAAGTAAAAGTAAACCTGCACACAGTAATTTTTTTTTTCTTTTGAGACACGCAAATCATTGACACAAAATAAAGGTTTAAAATTATTAGACACAACAGCATTTAACCTATAATTCCAATATATATAATTTTCAATCCAAACTATATATAAAACACGAATTCTATGTCAAAATATTTGATTAACAAAAATATCTTTAAATTTTAAGAAATATCACTTGCATTAAAAAGACTTTAGTTATAAATAATAATTATATAATTGTCTTCTCTTAAGAAAAATTCTACGTATCAAATTAAAAAGACTGTTACTCCATATAAGGTAAGGATTTATTTATTTTTGTTTATGACAATTCAAAATATATTTAAATACTATTATGTAAATTCAATTCTATGTCTAATTATGAAAGAGATTAAAACACTAATATAATTCCTACAAAAATAGGTAAATTCTTTTATTTCTTTTTTTTTTCATTTTATCTTATTTTATCTATTACATAAAACCTTAAATAATATAAAATAATCGTCTTAAATCCTCCCTAACCTTACTTTATTGGACTTTTATATGAATTATCAAATCTCTAAAAATTTCTTAAAACCAAATCAACATAAGCCAATAATTAAAATAATAAAATAACATCAAAATTTATCAAGTTATTAAATCGGATCCTTAGTTTCTTTTGCATGGAATTATTGATTATTGTCTTAGAGTATCTTTGATGTTTTTATATAAAACAATTCATAAAATTCTTGTTATTCGTTTCAACTGATATAAAATAATCGTCTTAAATCCTCCCTAACCTTACTTTACTGGACTTTTATATGAACTATCAAAACTCTAAAAATTTCTTAAAACTAAATCAACGTAAGCCAATAATTAAAACAATAAAATAACATAAAAAATTATCAAGTTATTAAATCAGATCCTTAGTTTCTTTTGCATGGAATTATTGATTATTGTCTTAGAGTATCTTTGATGTTTTTATATAAAAAAGTTCATAAAATTCTTGTTATTCGTTTCAACTAGTTTTGTTAGGAGGCTTGGGTGTATAAATTAAAACAAAAAATAACTACTTCTATTATAAAAGACTAAAAAATCTATTTTTGTCAATTCTTTGGAACATTTTCAAGACTTTTCAACTATGGATATTACTAAATATAAGTAATTAAAATAAATAATTAAGATAAAATTTTAGATTTGATTTATCATATTTTTACTCCTTAGAATTGCTACTAATTTAAAATAATAATAATAAAAAAAATCTTTAAATGAAACATTCATAAAATTTCTATTTGTTCCTATAATTTTAATTTCTTCTCACCCTAAATTCAGCAAATTATAAAATTTTATTTTATTTATTAGGAACCCATGCATAGTCATAATCTTAGGTTAATTTTTTCACTTCTTTAGATTAAAGAAAGGATTTGTACATCTTGACAAACTCTATTAATATTAAAAAAAAAAAAAGTCCAGAGGTAGCATAAATTTTTTATATGTGCCTACATATTTAATATTTGCTTGACATATAATGAAAAATAAACTCTTTAAAACCAGAAGAATGCATTGGGAATTATTATGAAGACATTCAAAAGGATATTTGAGAGGACATTAAACGTGGGCTTTCTAGTAGTCAATAATGTATGAAAATAAACTCTTCAAATTTCTATGGTATCATTTGGTTATCAAGAATGAAAGGTCTAGAATGAGAATGTAGGAATCTAAACGAAAATTAAGAAATTGGAATGACATTTATATTTCCATATGATGTTTAGACTAT